ATTTGTTAACATTTAAAAAAAAAAAAGAAAAAAAAACGTACAATATTATTACCCGGCTACAGGCAAAGTTTCAACAACTTATACCGAACGGTTACTGAGTTACAGTTGTTTGTAAAGTCCGGCAGGACTTCTGGAACATACTTTAATCAGAATTTAGCTTTTTACTTGAGTTTGTTACTTTTGAGTTTACTGAAGTCATGCAAATGTTTAACGCATCATTAGGGTGTTTATAAATATAAATGAAACCTTTTCAGTCTGACGTAAATAGAAAAAAAGACTGGTCGAAATGTTTGGTGGCGTTTGTAGCCCCCCCCCCCCCCTCCCTTTCTACCCCCACACACACACACTAAACAATAAACCGTATCTTGGCGATAAAGGCGATAATGACAGGAAACAATCAGTTTATTATAAATTCAAAGTTGTATGTCCCTTTACTAAACTGAATTATGTTTGTTCGTTGCAAAGACGCGACACATAAGTAAAAGACAGATAGTAGTGGATACTACCTGTTTCTGCTAAAGCTGCATGTAGGGCACGTATTCAAATTCTTACATCCTACTTGTACCAGAGGCTACATGTGGAAGAGCACATTGGAGAGGATACTAACCTTATCCTTAATTGGAAGTGGAAATGGAACCTGAAAACCTAATGTCATGGCAAAGCAGACTATACTCTGACCCTTGGGTGACATCTGGTCTTGGAGGGTAGCTCCTGTGACACAGTCGTATCTTTTATTCTCAACCCAGGTTCAGGTATTGTTTGTCACAAGGGTGGCTGGTGATGTTGATAGACGAGGAGAAAGATGGTCGTGTCGTTAGTGGTGATGATGAAGCACACTTAACCCCTCGTTGCATGTTTCTCACGTGACTTTGCTTGAATAATAAAGTGTCTTGAAATAACTATTTTCGTCTTTAAATTTCTTTAATATGATACTTTAACAATGTCACACAATTAAAAATGATATTCTGAATAACACTGGATTATCTCTAAGGCTAAGTACTTGTAGAATCGCGTTGTGTTCTTCTTCTTTATTTACTTTGTTAACTGGTTCTATTGTCTTTAACTGCCACCGGGCTACTAGTGCAGGTTGGTTCAACAGGTTTTATCTTTGTGACGAGCTGGTCTGGACAGCTGTTTCTGTCCTTTTAAAAAGTGCTTTGTTTAGATAATACTATTACCAAAGTTCTAAACATTTTCCTATTGCTTTTAATTAGCATAATAACACTGGATTAATTAAGAAATTTCCTTAACTTTTTCTTAATGCTTTACTGTAGCAAAATTATAATTAAAGAGTTGAAAGGTAATATGCAAAAATTTGCGCTAAGAGATGTTAATACTGTGACAGATGGAAAAGCCCATTGTCATCTATGATTGTATATTTTGACATCTATACCAGCACCCAGTATGGAGATATGTCAATCCCATTTATTTTCAAACAGTGCAAAGCACCTGTTATGAGTTTCTGCTCTTGGTAAACTCACTCCCTGTTTCTCATTCATTGTGATGTGAACCCATGTGGTTAAGATGAGAATATTGTGAAATATGACTGTGTATGTCTGTGTGTGTAAGCATGTTAACCCTTTAAAGGAGTACTAGTGTGCAGACAGCAGAACAATTTACACTGAGGAATGTCCTTTCTTTTTGTGTGATGTAAACTCTTGTTCTTGAGAGTATTCATGAAACTGGTTTCCTAAATATTTCCCCATCAGGATTATGGACCATGTTCTGTATGCATTCCCATTCTATACCAGTAGAATGTGAACACCTGTTTCTATCCTACTCCATATGTATATGTGTAGTGTAACAGTTTAAAGACTGGAGGTATTGTTGTCTCCAGTTAGAACCTTCCTGACTGTTTGTTTAAGGACTGTTCTATTGTTCTAGTTCCAGATTGTATTCCAGATGGTAGTCCAGAAGCAGATCCTAAGCTTAGCTGCAGATACCCGATTGTCCGGACTGGACTGGAAGATTCGGCCTGCCTGATGTGTCACCGAGGCTTAGCCAGAAGCTGACATAAGCTACAGCTAAGTGGACAGTTGACCACTATCTTTTTATAACCGGATTTTATATCCACAGCCATTTAGTTATCATTTGAATTTATATTGATTTGAAAATCCTAATAAATGTTAGTTTTAATGTTCCTACAGCTTTATGGAGTTTCCTTTTAACTGTAAACATTGTCAGTGAACTTAAGAACATTTAAATATACAAGTTTAATAACAGTAGGGAATCAGATGTGGGCAAACCCCAAATCCTCTAATTTAACCAGCAAGGCTGGGGGTAATATAAACCCTTTTTAAGATTTACTGTTTGTAATTCCCTCTGTGAAGTGCACATAGTGCATTCGCTAGTTAAAGCGAAGTTACTCGCCACAATCTTCCACTTATAAAATTCATTTGGAGGTTTTCAGGAAGTCCGGCCTATATGTAGTTCTTCTAGTCTACTGTGCTCCGGCCTCTTCTTCATCTGTCTCAGAGTCAGTATCTGTTCCCGAAATCGTATCTACACCTGAATCCGGCTGGACTAATGGGTGGTGGAAAATGCGAAACTCTCTTACTACAAAGCGGTATACAAGAGTTGATTCGTTGTCCTGCGTAAAAACAATCGTGACCAGTCGGAATTGGCCACTGTTTCTGACAGTAATTCTAATCGAATACAAATATATATATCTTTAACTATCTTTTTATCTACACTTTCTAATCAACCTTCCTTCCCTGTTTAACTGACCGGTACTTCGCTCTACTATCTATCTCTGTCCCTATCTCTAGCCTGTCCTCTGGCCTGTCCTTTGCTGTCCTCTTTCTTCTGCCTCAGTCTATCTCCGTCTTCTCCTCTGGCCTGTCTCCGTCTATGTCTTGTGTCTTGTCACTCCTCTATCTGTGTCTATTCTCTGTCTGTCCCCGACTATCAACTGGCCCGTCTACTCCTTGTCTGTGTCCGTGTCTGTGTGTGTCTATGTGTGTCTGTGCCTTCTGTCTGGCCCTTGGGTTCCGTGCAATCGTTTATAAAGGGGTTACTAGCCTGCTCCCAGGGGGCTCCTATCGCTCGTTGTTTTGCGGATTCTGCAGCGACCTTAGCTGGCCGGGACAAAGGTATTTTAGTTATGTAAGACTAATTGTTTTGTGCAGGACAGGGAGAGTCACATGATGTCTTATCAGACGACTCAAAGTACGTGGGAAACAAGAGTAGGGACCTAAGGGGATATAGTTGCCTACTAATCATAGTGGACAATTTTCAAAAACAAGGGTGAAGGCCATAAGGGGTCTTGTCGTGCAAACAGCACAACACTAAAAAGGTGGTATGAGCAATGACTCTGCTACACTCCGATAGGCCCACAGACAGAGCAGTTCTCCTCTGATCCGGGAGATTATGCGGGATGCCTTGTTCCAACCGTATTGGTGTTACCTTTAATTTGGAGAAAATAACGCAGGTCAGGAGAGGGATTAGCTGCAAGAGCAACATATGGTCTCTACAGTACTGCCCAAACTTTTTGCCACTAACAAAATGAACGTTATTTTTGGTCTTAATTAGCAATGATTATATAGTCTCTTTATAATACTCTATAACATTACTGTCTGCAAAGACAGAAATGTGTGAATGAGGTACAACGAACAAAAATCAAATGAGGCACGATATATTGTGGTAGCTGACAATAAGAATAAACGAATCAGTGACGTGAAACCAGCATGCACCTAGTGCCATTAGACATGGTCGCCATATGGATTCAGATATCCTTCTACGGGAGGGGGCGACAGATAGACTCTTGAAATTCAGAACTAATGAAATTCACATGGTCATGTCTAAGGCATGTCAACTTGCAGTTAAGCGAAGCACGCCAGCGGACTGTTTGTCTTCACTTTAAACAGTAGCACACGTGTCTAAATACCCAGATTAATGTGTCTGCTGCCCCTTGGTGAGTGTTTACTACCTAGCCATTGTGCTGTTAAATTCTGCAAAATCGACTGTCATACCCCTGATAGGTTAGTGTGAAGTAAACAAAGTCTGTTAGGGGGGGGGGGGGGGGTTCATTTGATTCGATTTTGTAGCGCTGACATCGTGCTTACATAAATCAGGTAGTTAGTGAAGCAACAAAATTACTAATATAAAAAATGCTACTACTCTGATAAACTGAGTAAGATGACAGTTAAACGTTGCTGTGTCCATTACAGCACTACTTCACCACTTAGATCAATGAGATAAGATATTTATGCAATAATAACAATGCTCATTTACCATCAACACGACTCTGATAAGTTAGATATCAGTAAGGAACTAAAACTGACGGTCCTGATGGGGAAAATTCTGCCCCAGAGGTAAAGAATGAAAATGGGGATGAGAACATTGAAATCATCATCTCTGATAAACTGAGATACTTCGATCATGTTAAAAGCCTAACTGTTGAAGAACAAAATTGGAAGACATTTTTACCCAGTACAAATGTCTGTAGCATTGGATGGGTGACCTTAACTACTATTATTCCCCCTGAAAGTACAGTGTCTTCTTTGAAACTAAAACATTATCTTGGGTGGCGTTTTACTCTCACGCCATGTCTTCTCTTGAATAGAAGCATTGTTGGTAATTTGTATGACTGCGTTCTAACATGATGCACAAGCCATTGATCTTCTGCTTACACTGTGTATGTCGCATACACAACAGGTTTGATAATATCGCTTCTCACTTGGGGGTTACATTTTCTGCTGTCCGCATGTACCTGTTCTCATAAATGATAATTTTACATACATGGGCTTTGAAATGTGTTCACATTTTTGCACCGGTGGTATAGGGTTGATTTAGGTATAAGCTACCCTTACATTTCTTAGATGTATGTGATGAATTACTGTCGTGACTTATACAGCATTAGCACCACTCTCATGTGTGTTACATAAGGGAACATGGAGATCTTGTCACAAATACTTTAGCAGCAAAACTACTCTTATATTCAGAGGTTGCGACATAAATTACTCGATGAAGAGGCTGAGACAGGACTTGGCCAATCAAACATGCGACTACAACCGGCTCAACATATCTCCTGCGCTCTTGTTCTCATGGTGATGATGCTGGCACCAGAACTACTCGCTAGGCGGATTTGGGACATCATACTAAATGACTTTACAACGCACTCGGTAAGTTCCGATTTGTCCTTTGATAATCATATGGAGAAAGAAAACGAGAGAGAGAGAGAGAGAGAGAGAGAGAGAGAGAGAGAGAGAGAGAGAGAGAGAGAGAGAGAGAGAGAGAGAGATCAGATTTATCTAGATCTCTGAGTAAACTATTTAAAAGCTTTATATGAGTGACTTGCCTCAAATTGTTTTGTTTGGCCAATATTTTCTCAAAGGGTGTCTCTATGACATTCTTTGAAACCCTCTTTGTCATTGCCCCATTATCTCTTCCTTTCATCTTTGTTACTGTCCTACCAGTTTTGAGTTTATGTTCTTGTGATACGTTCAAAAAATGTTGAATATCGTCAAGTGAAGAAAGAAGCCGGTTTCCCTGAGTAACAAATACTGGATCAAAATTATGAGCAAATGGAACATTGTTATAAGGCGACCAGTACTGGAGTACGTATTTAGTGGGCGCGGACTATAGCGGCCAAATGTGACGCTCATTCAAGTCTTTTTAGGTTGAGGTATGACTACCGCTTATCTGTTGCATGGCCGATGACTTCCGGTATGGCGGCGCTAGCAACCATGATTATTTCAAGGCAAAAACTGTGCGTATTCAATCGGTTGTCATCGCTTAAATTAAACCTCTTACCAGTTCAAGCACATGACGGCAATGTTTTCCACCGCTGGATACTCGAGGATATCAGGTTTCTTTACTAGTTGCCTCGTTGGTTACACTGGCTGTGGTAGAAACAACAGGTGAGCTGGAGTTTGTAGCTATCCTTGCGGCGTCTTAGTGATTCCTGGGGTGGTGTCTATTCAAAGGTGGAGCCTTTTAATAAATCAGCTGTGTATTTAACTTCAGGAAGAGTCTCGTCAACAAGGGCTTCACAGTGCAGCAGATGTTTAAGAGTGCACAAAGTTTCCTAACATCCATGAGATTTAGCAAAATGTTGCCTTCTTTCTGGGAGAAGTCCGGGTAGATGGAACCCGTTAGCTTTGCACAGCAGTCCATCTAGGAGACGGCAAACTCCGAATTTAAACCCCCAAGTTCAAGGTGGGCCAACGAGTTGAGGAACTGGATGGCCACAGGTGAGCTGGTCGTAAACGTTGGACGTCTGGCGGGCGTGCGGGGCGACATCAGGCGTATGAAGTCCTACGGGACATGGATTTTAAAAATATACATAAGAATCGTCACCGGAGCTACAGGGCACGTGCTCTGCGCTTGACACATTATTCAGCGGTTAGTGAAGAGGGAGTGTGGAGGAGACGACGAGGAAATGGGGAGAGAAGAAGGCATAGAAATAGGAGGGCGGGTGCTAGGAGAACAAAGCGAAAAGCAGAGAGACTGAGCTTTAATCGTGTAAGAGTAGGATACTGGAACTGTCGGAGTGCTAAGCAGAGAGTCCTGTACTGGAGAGGTTGATTTTTGATTTTGATGTCATCACGCTACAGGAGCTAAATACAGACATATATCATTGCCCGGGGTACGTCAGTTATATAAACCCTGTGGGACACCTGTTGGACAGGAAAGACATGGACAAGGTCTAGTGGTAAAGGAGGGAGTGAAGCAAGTGGTGCTTGACTTGAGTCAGTGGAACAACAGTGAACGAGAGGTTCAAGGGATACAGGTGGAAATTGGTGGCTTAAGTTGGAACCTCATAAATATATATGTCACGGTAGACTGTTTTGTCAGAAGTGAACAATGGAGCTGGCTCAAGGAATTGAAGGAGTTACCAGGTGATATGTTACTCATATGTGGGGTTTTCAACGCGAGGAACAGAGAATGGGACAGCAGTGGAGAAAACCGACAGGGAATTGCTCTTGCAGAGGCCATGGTTGACTCCGATATGGTCTGCATCAATGATGGGAGGCCGACTAGAATGGCAATGAGGTCTGAAGATGCAGACACAGCCATTGACTTGACATTTGTCTCTCAGTCGTCGGTTTTAGATGTTAAATGGACTGTCCTGAATGACCATGGGAGTGATCACCTACCATGTTCAGTCTTGATGTCTAAACTCAGTAAGGTTAAGGTTGGGAGAGCACGCAAGACCTTCTAGTATAAGTGGACCAACAACCTACTTGGACGCCCAGGACGGAGAGTATGCAAAAGAACTGCCAGAACTAATTTTCTACAGCCCCCATGGTGGACTCCAGGAGTAGAACAGGCATGGAAGGCAAAGAGAACCGCAGTAAAGCAGCTAAAGAAAGTACTACAGACACCCTCAAGCTCACGAGAGGAACTGGAGATGGCGGATAATGTAAAAAGAGATAAGGTGGAGGTTTTCAAGCGATGTGCTGCAGAGGCCAAAAGAGCAAAGTTTGAAACTTTTGTGAATGATATGGGAGGCCATAAAACATTGGGAAAATTCTGGAAACTGCAAAGGCAGATGCAAAGAAAAGATCGGCCTATGACAGTCGGAACAATTTGTAGAGACGATGGTCTGCGTGTGACAACAGACAAGGAGAAAAGCCTCCCTTTTCTCCTTGTCTGTTGTCACACGCACACCAAGGAGAAAGGGAGGCTTTTCTCCATAGGTTTATAGCTCAGACAGATCATAATGATGTAGACAACAGGGATGCAGTTAGAAAGGAGTTAGCTGGCACCTTGAAGAATATGCATTATGAAGACATGATACAAGTGGAAGATATCAAACAAATTTTGAAAAAAGCAAAAGACACTGCACCAGGGCCTGATGGTGTCAGGTATGGTCACATGAAGGCTTTGTAGACCTGGCAGAGATGACTTACTGTTTTAACCGGAGTATTAAGACAGCATCAGTACCCCAAGACTGAGTGCACAGATATCTAATCCCACTACCAAAACATTTTAAAGATCATTCTAAGCTTAGTGGCTTTAGAATCATCACCCTATAAAACCCATTTGAGAAGGTCTTAGAGAAGATAGTTGCTGTACAGTTACAAGAATTTTTGGAAAGGGGAAAGTGTAGTGAGTTCATTTTCTCCCAATTAATTTATGCCCGACAGATGACGTCAGTAATAAATGTAAGGGGAATGTTTTGACTGACTGGGATAACACGAGATTTGAGTCTGAGTTTCATGGGAGACATCTGAAAGTCAGGTTTTATGTGAAACATGATTGTTCACGTGAACCAAGAAGGTTGACTGGCAGGCTTCGTGTGAAATCCGAAAAATCAAGGGCCAGACACGATTTTCAGCGGCGGGGAATTCGTGAGAATGAAGTCATACAGAATATTCGAGAAGAACATGGCTGAGATTAGAGGGCTATATAATAGCGGGAGAAAGGACTGAGAGGCAGGCTCGTTTGGACCCAGGAACCAGTGCGCATGGACAGGAAGACGTGTGTAGTCTACGTGTGTTGAGCGGATGTGTTCCTATCCAACTTGGCGGAGAAGCTGGCAGACAAACTGTCTGCGGGCATGTTGGTTGTTTCTGTTAGAACAGCTGTTGTGTTTCGTAGTGTAAGACGATTGTGATTTCTGACAGAAGGTAATGAAAGTCTAGCATTTATTATTTCAATGATCATGTGTGCCTGGACAATAGTCTGTTTCCATGTGCCGGCTGAGTGAGCCGCGAGTAGGAAATTAAAGAACTGAACAGTATCGTGTTGTTGTTCCAATCGTCCATTTTCTGCTCGTCATGTGATGTCGGTACGTGAGCGTTGCGATGATGCGAGCCAGATAAAGATAGAAGAGAATCATCGCAGAAAGCATCTCCCAAGAGGTCTGGGAAGTTACAGGCCAGGAAAGGACACTTGGGCAAATGCGCCATCTCGCCTGTGCTCTTCAACGTGTAAAAGAGCAGGATTGCAAGCCTAGAAGCACCAGGAGTTGGAAGGAAACTGACTTTTGCGGATGATATACTTGCATATAGGCAGAGGGAAGAGAGGGAACAAACAGTCCAGGAGCTACAAGCGACAGTAGACAAAGTGACTAAGTGGTGTACAGAAATGAAGGCTGTCGTCCACCCGGAAAAGGCGTCTGTTTTGTGGTGTTCTCTGGACAACAGAATCGTTAAAACTAATTTCCCAAGTCTCACGATAGATGGTAGAGACGTCAACAGAGAGAGCAATCTGAATTATCTGGGAATTACATTTGACAGGAGCCTGTCATTTAAGGACCATGTGGAGAGTGCTGTGACGAGATGCCAAATAGGACTCGGTGCACTTAAGACTATGGCTGCAATTGACATAGAGCAGAGAATGCTTTTCACACTATATCAGCACCTGATCCTGTCAGTGGTGGATTATGGCCTGGGACTGCTTACCGTCTCAAATAGTCAGATGGACAAACTAGAGCGCATACAGAACGCGGCTATGCGGGTCATTCTGGGTTGCACCAGAGACACCCCAGTGGTGTGTATGCGATACATCCTTGGTTTGCCGACGGTTGCAGGTAGGCACAAGGTGATGCAGGCGAAGTCATATCTCAGGGTAGCTGCAGACACAGACAACCCTCTGCATGAAGTTCTGGGTGCAGTTAAGGGTCAGCGGCTGATAAGAGGGAGGTCGTGGATGGCTCAGGCAGAAGACACAATCAGACAGGTTTGCATCCTTGAGAACATTAGACGAGGAGAGGAGTGGGTCAAAGTGTCACCTGAGCAGTCAGACGTGTGTAGAGTCATAATCACGCTGAGCCGGGAATGAGACTGGTCAGGAGGTGCCACAGAGGTGGAAATTCAGCAATTAATTCAAGATAATGCTCGCTCAGAGGATTTGATCATTTACACAGATGGTTCAGTGTCAAGAGGCAAAAGAAGTGCTTGAGGCTTTTTAGCAAAAGTTAATGGTCGACGTTTGGTGCAGGAGAGTCTAACATATGTTACAACATCCAGCTTGAGAATGGAGATGGAGGCGGTCACTGCAGCTTTCCGCTGGCTAGAGAACACGACACACACACACATTGTAATTGTAACTGATTTAGAAAGCATGCTGAGGAAGATCAGAACAGGTATGCTTCGTGCAGAGTGGCATGCTTCGCTGCGGAGGACACGATTGAGGAGTATTGTCTGGTTTTTTTTCACCGGGTCCGCTGGTG